CAGCCCTCCCCCTGGGCGGAGACCCACCCGCCCGCCGTCAGCTTAGGTTGAGGCACCCTGCGTGTGTCTATAACTTTGTGCTGCTGCCGCGGCCGCCCTGCTCGTGAAAGGGAGGAGGAGGAATGTGGAAGGTGGCAGCGCGCAGGCTGACAGGCGGTTCCTCAGGCGGGCTGCGGTGGCGGCCGGAGCGCCTCTCCTTCGCAAAGGTTGCGCGACCCCTCTTCGCCGTGCCCCGGGCCCTCGCGGGATTGTGCGTCCTCCCCCCTCGTCCCTGAAGGGAAGGAACCGAGGTAGGCGCCGGAGCTGTGCAGCGGGACGGCCGCCTTCCCGGTGACTCCGGATCTGCTTCCGAGCTGGGCCAGGCGCTTCCCTTTTCCCTCCCCGTGACTCGGTGTGCGCGCCCCTCTTCTCTCCCGCTAGTGTTTTTAAAGGACTTGAGCGAAGGGGGGAAAACTGTCAAGATGGCAGCAGCGGGAGCAAGGAGGTGATGAACGTGCTTGTCCGGGTTTTCTGGCGACCCGGGAGACTTGGCGCTTCCCGACCTGTTGGAAGATTTACGTTCCGACTTGCCCCCTCCCCCCGTCCTTTACTGGGAGAGGGGTGGAGGGCAGAACGTCCGTGAGAAAATAAACCACACAAAACCCCAAAGTAGCCCTTTCTTCTAGGCTCGACCCTTTGCGAACACCCGCCGAGCTGCTTGCCTCCCTTCTTCCCGTATTTTCTTTTTTTCTGGAAGTGACAAGGGCCCGTCTGCGCTCGGACCCACGTTCGCCTTCGCAGCCCACGGGCGAGGAGGGGAGAAGGGGGCTGCCCGCGCCGTCCCCGGCCTCCGACCGGTCGCTGGGAGGGAGGTGACGGGGGTGCGGAGGCGGCAGGGCTGGGGACCGGGAGAGGAGCCGAAGACTCCAGACTTTGGCGGCAGCGCCGCGGGAAGCACTTGAACGGGCCCGAGTAAAACATAAACAAATGCACGCCCGCCTGAGCTCGGGCTCTGACCGAGTCCAGGTTGCGCCAGCTCCGGCCGCAGCCCGCTTTAAAGGCGCGCCCCGCGCCCCTCCCCCTTCGTCCCCGCCCTGCACCTAGCCCAGGGGAGACCTGCAGATCTGGCGGTGGCTGGGGGAGGGTGCTGCCCCGTGCGAGCCCGTCGATTCGCCCGCGTCTCCCCGGCGGCCTGACCAGGGGGCGGTGTCTGCAGCGCCAGGTTCGCGGGACGCACGTCTCCAGATCTGCCTGCTCCTGGAAGGCGGGCGCGGGTGGGTCGGGAAGCAGCAGCCGCGGCGGCTCAGGACTTGCCGAGGACTGGGCTCCAGCTCGGGATAACCAACTCCCCTTTTCTCTCCTCTCGTGCCTCCCCAGGCGACTGCAGTAGCGGCGGCGGCGGCGCCCGGGAGTCCTAGCCTTCTCTGCGTCCCCGTCCCTCCCCCGCCGCACCCCGCCCGGGCAGAGAAGGGAGAGCGAGAGCCCGAGCCGCGGGCGGGCGGCGAAGATGGCAGAGGCGCCGGCCTCCCCGGCCCCTCTCTCTCCGCTCGAAGTGGAGCTGGACCCGGAGTTCGAGCCCCAGAGCCGGCCGCGCTCCTGTACGTGGCCCCTGCAGAGGCCGGAGCTCCAGGGAAGCCCGGCCAAACCCTCGGGGGAGGCGGCCGCTGACTCCATGATCCCCGAGGAGGAGGACGATGAAGACGACGAGGACGGCGGCGGTAGGGCCGGCTCGGCCATGGCGATCGGCGGCGGCGGGAGCAGCACGCTGGGCGCCGGGATGCTCCTTGAGGACTCGAGCCGGCTGCTGGCTCCCGGAGGGCAGGACCCGGGGTCTGGGCCAGCCCCCGCGGCGGGTTCGCTAAATGGGGGGACGCAGACGCCGCTGCAGCCTCAGCAGCCACTGCCACCGCCGCAGCCGGGGGCAGCTGGGGGCTCCGGGCAGCCGAGGAAATGCTCGTCGCGGCGGAACGCCTGGGGGAACCTGTCCTACGCTGACCTAATCACTCGCGCCATCGAGAGCTCCCCGGACAAACGGCTCACTCTGTCCCAGATCTACGAGTGGATGGTGCGGTGCGTGCCCTACTTCAATGATAAGGGCGACAGCAACAGCTCTGCGGGCTGGAAGGTGCGTACCCACCTTGGGCGGGCGGTGGGACCCGCTGGGCCTCCTGTGCAGTGCGAGACGCGCCTTCGATTCGTCGGAGCGCGCCTACAGGAGCTGGGGAGAGGGGTTGGTCGAGAGCCTAGGCTGTGAGGCTTTGGGGGTTCTGTCTGACCCCGAAGGAGGGGTACCTGGTGATGGCCTCAGAGGGGCGGCTGGGGGGGGTGTCTTTGGGAACTTTGGGGGTTGGCCAGGTTGGGAGAGGGTGCAAGGAACTGCGGAGAGGGAAGGACAGATGGACCAGAGTGCTGGATCCTGGGGACAGCGCAGAGCAGGTAGGTCCTAGGCCAACTTTGGAGTAGAATTCACCACAGTGGGGTGCGGTAAGGGCGCTGTGGGTGGAGTGAGGGGATGTGGGGTTGTGTTTGGGACTTGGTGCCGGGAGGAGGAGTTGAGTTTGTGTTTTTCAGGAGCTAGGTGCGTTGTCACTAACTGGGTGAGAACCCTTGGCTGGGTCCAAGCTTCAGGCTTGTGGGTGTTAACTTACACAGGCATAAAGATATCATTAGAAAAAGCAGTGGTTGCAAACCTTTTCCTGACTGGCGTTCTATTGACACCTTTATTGCTTAAAGATGTATCTTTAGTAAATCGGCAATAACCTCTGAGATGTCTGGGGTCTGGAACAGGCTAGCTCTGCCACCTCAACGCTGTATGGCCCCACCTGCTGCTGGGGCTGAGGCCTGGACTCTGGCCTTGTTTGAGATGGGGTCCAGGTCTGGAGGCCTGGTGCCTCACCTAGGCCTTTGGAAGGGAGGTTTGGTGGCAGGGCTGGGCTGTAATGGCTTCTACCAATAAGTGAACCTGAAGAGAGGCTCTCTACTGTTCCTTTTCAGCCTCTTGGGGGCACTGGACACGTGGTAGGGAGAGAGGTGTGGAAAGGCCTATGATGTAATGACTTCCTGCAGTTGGGCATCCAAAGAGATTAGCTCCTGTGCCCCTGCTGATACCCAGCTGGTTTGCTTCTCCTGGCCCCTTCCCCCAAGATATGAATGTGTCAGTTCCAGGCAAAAGAAGAGTCCTACGCATTTGGAGATACTAATTGCTTATCAGTTGGTTTTATTTGCAATTTGCTGCTGCTGCTGCCTTTTAAAATTAAAGAGGTAGTTGCTTCCTCCTTCTGTGCCTTCCTTTATTGTCTTGGGGAGCCCTGTATCTTCCTGGGTTCCACTAGGTGTATAAAATAAGAACAGTTTGGCCTTAGTGGAGAACTGAAGTACTAGAGAGGAGACTGTATATGAAAACCTAAAGACTTTAGTGTACCGACTTTTAATTTGCTTAAAAATAAAACCCATGTAAAGTGCCTTTAAAAAAATTTTTTTATGGCCAGTATTGGAGAGGCCTTGTTTAGATTTAAACCCTGTTTAGATTAAACAAACTTTGAAAGCAGAATTTGTGCTTTGATATTATTCCATAAATCTGTTTCATTTCCTTTAACAAATGCTGACAGTATGAATGTCACATTTGATTTAATTTTATTGCTTTGCGAAGGAATGCCAGTCTTGTGATATGAGGGCGCTTTACAGAGTGGCCGACAGTTCCGTTTCAAAGCAGTGCTAATGTGATACCTGAGTTTCCAAATGTATAGCAAGGGTTAATCTCAGTGTACAGTATCAGGAAGGGGTGAATTCACAGGATCTAAGAAGATAGATTTGGGGTTTTGGAATATTTTTCAAATTTCTCACACTTGAAATTTAGTCTGCATGTTTTGAATTTGGTGCACAGAACCTGTTAATTAAGAGTTAGCTAACTTTTCATTTAGTTCAGTTTTCAGCTTTCCTATGATTTTTGCAATTAAGAAGTAATTTAATTCCATAAATAGCATTTCATGCTGTTGTGCTTATAGTTAATAAGTTTAATAGTGTTTGATTTAAAAAAAAAGAATTCTGTGAGAAAGTGGTATTATCAAAAGTAACTATGAATTGAGACTGGGCTAATTATACTTTCATGTAGCTTGCAGGATTTGCAATAGAGATTTTGGGCCTAGTCATAAACTTTGTGGTTTTGTGTCCTAAACATTTTTTGGTCTCATAGTTCCTTTTTTTCTTCTCCGCTATCTTATTTTTCTTGAACCAAAATTTTATGAAATATTGTAAATTGAAACTCTCAAGCCTTAATATGTTTAATAGAGGGCATGCATTTTATGATTATTTTTACTGTAAATTGTTATACCAATTCCACTTCTGGGTATTACGGGACAACTAATTCTTGAAGACTGTAGGGATATAATTTAGTTAGAGTTTTTGTAAGATGACCTTTATCAAAAGATGCAGCCATGCAGGAACTTCCAAATCTTTGATGATGGAGAAGGCCCTTTGAGACTGGGGCTGGTTTCATATTCTGATTATGAGTACTAGCCAACCCTTTTTGTGTTTATGGTTTAGTAGGGGCAGAGAAAAGGGAAAAGGGAGAGGTCAGGAGCTGATTGTGACCCATGTTCATGTGTCCAAGTTTCAGGAGTTCACTCCTATCATGATTAGTCATTTTGGAAGCATGCATGTGCATTTAAACCACACTACTTTCATTCTGAGTTATGCATTTGGGTTTTTAACCTCTAAAAATGTCTAGAATTCAGATTAATGTCTCCCAGTCACGTGTGCACCTAGGGACAGTATGCAGGGTCTAGGCCTTACTTCTTTTGTGGCTTTTTGGGCCATTGCATTATGAGAGCCTGTAATCGGAATTATCACCATAAGGTTGTAGAATGAAAGAGCCCTTGGGAATCAGGATCAAGACCAGTGGTTCGAAGCCCTAGTTGCCTGTTAGAATCACCTGGGAGTCTTTAAAACATGCTAATACCCAGAGAATCTGATTTAATTGTGCTGGTGTGTGGATTCGTGTTTGTCATTTGGAGAGGGAGAAAGGTTTGAAGTTTCTCAGGTGATTCTAATGTACAGCCAGGATGAGGTTTGCTGATCTAGTTCAACCCCTTATTTAATAGGTGAAGAACCTGATTCTTCAAGTTAATGACTTTTCTAAGATCACACAGCTAGTTAGTACAGAGGTAATTAGTAGCCAAAGTTCTAGAGGTCTTTGTTCTTAATCACACTGTTTTCCTCTTTAAGTAAATCTTTTTAAAAGGTTATTTACTCAGTAATGAGTAGCCTTAACATAAGTAGAGTTGCTTTCCTGAAAAACATATTTACCTCTCAATCTGAAAACATCTTGGTTATTATTTCAGCATCAGAAAGACAGGTGAATATTGATGGAGGCTGAGTGAGTGCATCATGTTTGTATAGCTTGTCCAGTGCCTATCAGTATGGGTATTTGGGAACTATGAAGTGATAAAGGTGGCAAAAAACAGCTCATTTTAACACAAAGAGGACTTTCTTGGTTAACTTAGGTTTGTCAGATGCCTGCTGTGCCAGGGAGAAAGGTAGTGGCTATCTCACAGGTTCCCTTACCTCAGGCATTAAAGTAGAAGTGAATAATCAGATGTGGTTAAGAGGGGAAAAGGTTACATTTCCTTCATTCACAATAAGCTTACTTGCACTGCACCCGTAATTAAACTGGTGGGTTTTCTCAGTTCCTCCTGTCTTGGGCAGACCTCTAGGACTCCGGAGTTCACCTTGTAAGGCCTGTTTACCACTTATTCTCTCTCTCTCTCTCCCTCTCCCTCCCTC